CATTGTGTCCTGGTAAATTATTTTCATTATTTGCTAGGCAAATGGAGGGAAAAGAAAGAAGTCAGAGGCATTGACAATAGCCCCTGAGAAGTTACAGAAGCTTGACTCTTGCCAATTGCGAAGAAGTGGTAGACATAGGAAAGTGCGAGGGGAGAAAGATTTCATAATATCCTCTGATAACAGTCTCAGAGATCTGAAATTACAGGTACGTAGCAATTTCACAAAAGATTTCAAATTGAATAACAAAATAGAAATGACTTTACATGTAAACTTTGAGTTCAGCGATGTATAAATAACTTTAATGAGATTGCATGAGTGAAAACCATGGTAACCCTTAGCAAAAAGCAGGCTTGCTGCAATATTTCTGCAAACTGCAGTTCCTTCTTGCAATTTTGCTGCAATATGGCTGCAAATTAGCAGCAGCAAAATTTTTCTTGCGAACCTCTTGCCACATACTGTACTTTTCATTTTGATAAGGGAACACAGGCAGGCCAACATATTAACAGAATCTCCCCTTGAACAGGTGTCCCCTGAATCAAAGCTTGATCTGATAGATTCTATGCCATTTTTCAAGTTAGGTCAACTACACATGCAAGATGGTAAGAAGGTCCACTTTTCCATAAATAGACCCCCCCCCCTTTTGAACTTCCTAGCTACAAACCTGACATGCTTTCTATTTGTGTATATTTTCTTGTTATCATTTCAGATAATGAGGCAGTTCTCGGTGGCTCCATTTGACCAGCACCTTATGCTTGGTGGTCAGCACTTAACAGATGACCATGCTAAACTGGGCAGTTTGAATATTTTTCCTGGAGATATCCTGTACCTGAAGGTTGATGAGCCCACGGAGGAAGCCCTGATGATGGATGACCTTGCCAGAGGTGGGTCGTGATGATGATGATGATGACGATGTATCCATAGTGTATCAAACAAGATTTATATTTATAATGGTGGTAAAGGTATAAAATCTTGTGAAGAGAATGACATACTATTTAGATCTTAAAGCCCAGTAAGAAATGATGAAAGGCTTTCAAATGGACTAACTGTAGTGTATTCCTCTTGTAATGAAATGCACGCCATGTACATTTGTGATGGGGAGGTCACAAGAGAATGTTGGAGGGTGGTAAAATTAAAGATGGTCCTTACTTCAATATATAATACTTACTGGCATACTTACAAGCATACATAACACTTATCTTTGAAGACAGTGCAGTTGGAGACTCCAGATGAAATTAATACTTTTAGGGGAAACATAATATAATATAATAGATTGTTTGACAAAATAACATGATATAAAAGGAGAGCAAATTTTTAAGAAATGGAGATAAAGAATAACATTTGGACTGTACCAGTCTACCTCTGTCCTGATAGGTTGCTTTGGTAACTAAGCAAACTTTGTAGACATAATGTTATATTCTAGCTGCCTGTCCAGAGCAAACTGTGTACACATCATTTTATTTCTGCTATATTCTAGCTGCCTACCCAGAGCAGGGTTTCAAGGGAACTGGGCTTCATGGAAGTATGCAACAGTGATGACATCAGACACCATAGGAAATGCACCACCTTGTGGTGCCATGACAGATTGTATCAATGGTACCATGACAAATTGCACCAGGTGGTACCATAACAAGTTAACCAAGTTGTATCCTGCCAAATTACGACTTGGGGGTGCCATGACAGTCTGCACCAAGTGGTGCCATGACAGATTGCACCAAGTGGTACCATTACAGATTGCACCAAGTGGTACCATGACAGTCTGCACCAAGTAGTACCATTACAGATTGTACCAAGTGGTACCATGAGAATTGTGCCATGATAATGGTACCCTGTTTTGCCATGACTGTAGCACCCTTTGGTACTCTGGTTCATAACAAATGCGCCTCAGTACTAAGGTTTAAAGACACCCTGCATGGCAACTATCATGAGCCACAAGCAGGCTGTTTGTGGAACTTATTTTCTAGAGCTAGTGGTTACAGAAGTCAGTAGTTATTATCATTGAGAATTCACAGTATCTTCTCTCACTTGGAATAATTTAGTAAACATAGATTGTATTTGTAGCCTGTGGTTTATCTTGCTTGCGAGTGACATTGATGTACAGATACCAACATATACTTAAAGTGATAGGGTCATTGCATGGCTGTGGCCATACTCCCTTTTAATAGGCAGTTGATTACAAGTTGACGGAAGATACGCCATGATCTGACACTTGCACAGCTGCGGTAAATGGCCCTTGCCACATCAAGCGGTGCATTTTTTATTACAACAGTTTGCTGACTACATTTAATTATGCTATCAGAATGCTTTTTTTACTCCCTTTCACAAGCTCCAGTGTATGAAATGGCTCAACGCGCATAAAAACTTGATCCATTTAAGTGATTCTCCTATCAAAAAACCATACTATTCATTTGTTTATCGCTCGAACTGGAGATGCGCAGAAAACTGTAATGCTCGATGTGGAAAGGGTCTAATTGTGTCATTGTAGCAATGTGTATTACACCAAAAATCAAACGTCTTCAAAACAAAGGTGCTGTGCTGTAAGTGCTACCTATGCTTCATCCAAAATTCTGTCATTTTCTTTTTTAAAGACAGCATGCTGTTATGAACAAGGCTGAGAACAAGAGATGTTCTTGTTTGTTGTAACTGTTTTTTTTTTTTTAACATTGGGAACCCTGGGAAGTGAGGGCAGCCACATGAGTGTCTCAGAAAATTCTGTTATCATTATTTTAGTCTGGTCATGAAAGCAACAAAAGTAAGTTGTTACTGCCAGTGTAATTAGTTCATATGATCGTAACTGAACATGTACATCAAATCCAAGTCTTTTTATTATTTTTTTTATTATTATTTTTTATAACATAGATATTTCAGTATGTATATAAACTGGCATGTTAAAAAATTACTTGAGTAATTATGATATAAAAGGTAATCTCTCTCAAGGATTTGATGGTTCTTGAGAAAAATTATTGCTTTTACAGTGTATAGCAAGACTGATGGCATACAGCTACGAACAATCAATAAATGTATCTTTGTAGTATGTGTTCCTGCGTCAGAAGTCTCAAGTTTTATAGATATGTATTCAGATTTGTTAACCGTGTTCATATTGGGTTGAATTGATTTGATAACATCCAAAAATTTTATCTTTATATGCAGTGCACGAGAATATTCTCTTCATTATTTTGCTCGAAGTAAATTGACTTGAGGGGAATAACTCAGCAAAATAGTTTTAAAAAACCGGTGCTTATTATAATCATCGCCATCAGACTTGTCATTATTTTTTGTAATCACAAAAGTTAAAGGTACATACAAACCGAGCATCGGTGGAGCGTGGATTCCCTGTAACCAGTTATAACAGTAATAACTCCTTGCTGTAACACATATGAACCACTTCTACTATTTTTTATACGACTCAAATAAATTCGACATGCAGAGCGATAAACTGAATAGATCACTCAATCAGCCGTAAAAGAGCTGCTCCTTTAATGTTTTTGGTCAGAAATTTAACCTACTTTCATGACCTACTTTTCTGCCCCATTGACATACAGCATAGAATGCTAGCAGAAAAATCCCTTCAAACATTAAAATTAAACAATGCATTTTGGTAATTCTCTTAGTTATACTATTTGAAACTAAATACTGGCATTTGGTTGGCTTTTGTAGAAAGAAACTGACTTTATATGCATCTTTAACGGTACATTTACACTTAATTAGCCGATTAAGTCAACTTCAACTTGATTGTGTTGAGGAGGCAAAAAGTGAAAAAACGGACTATCCAGAGTTTTTTCTAATTTTTCATTAGTGCCTACCACCTTTTTCACCATGACCTGCTTGCACAGTAATATAGAATCTTTGGGAGATGTAATACAGAATAAGAGAAAAAATACCCCCCTCCCTTTTTTTTAAATTTTCACAATGCTTATCGCCACCTTCTATCAACTACAAGCCCCCAAAGTACCAGCCTTGTTTGGAGTACGTTAGCTTTATTCTGGGTTCATCCAGTTTAAAGCACTTTATATAATAACAGCTTTGCCATTTAACATGCATGTTATTTGAAATTATATGAAAATATACAATAACAATTTCTACCTTCATGTATGTCACGTTTATTTAAACGCGTAAGATTATACAGTTATGAAATCTGATAGCGAAAGCATATATTTATCATTATGCAAGGAACAAGATTTGGCGTGGGGAATCCTGTAATACAGTCAGCTAAGGTTAAAAGTGTACAGTAACGTACAGTAAGGTAATATTAGGTAATCGTTTCCACGCCCACCAAATGACGTTCACATGGCTATCAGAAACGCACATCTAAAATCGTGCCTCTCTTTCTCTCTACTCCCACGGCCGAGCTGGGTTTATTGAGATTTAAACGGAACGCACTCGTTCATTATAACGTCTACATACTCAATTACGACAGCGCAGTAACACGCACATAGGACATGCGACGAACGCACACCCCGAGTTCAAGATGGTTCTATCTCAGTTTTCCTACGATGCTGATCAATTCGAATGCAGTTGTTTCAGTAAGGAACTTTGACCCTTAAATTAATCAAATGACTAAAAATTGGTCATTTTAAGTTCATGATAAAATTAGTCTATTTCAGTTCACTTCACAATACAGGGGTGGATTCAGGATTATTTGAAGGGGGGGTGGGTCCGCAGATGCGAAGCCGACCCTCCCTCCCCCCCCCCTTTGGCGTGGGGTTCGGGGCTTGCTAAAGGGCCCCGAGAAATTTTGGTATTTTAAAGGTCAAACGGTGCCATTTGATTCAGCTGATCAAAATTCCAATTTCAAGATGGGACCATTGGTGGGATTTTTTCAGAAATCGAAGGGGATGGGGTCAGGATTCCCCTGCGCCCCCCCCCCCCCCCCCCAAATTCGCCACTGCAAAAGGCCACTTTAATGAAGTATTGGCTTAAGATTACCGGTGTCTTTTTTTTTTTTTTTTTTTTTTTTTTTTTTGTATCAGGCGCACGAGTAAAATTCTATTTGATTGGTCAACTACTCATTTTTCTTGAGTTGGATTTAAGACAAATTTCTGGTTAATAGTTGCTTTGCGAAACAGGTTCTACGAACACTGAGGAGCGTCCAAAACCGGGAAGGAACAATTTTTGAAATTCAGGGTACAGGTGCAGCGCTTACACATAAATACCACCACGAATTGCTGTCGCCATCACTGCTATTTTTGTCGGCTGTCCGCGCATAATATCAAACGAATTTTTGGGAGTTCTTGAGAAGGTGAATTAAATTGGAATTTCTGTTTTAACGGTAAGATGAAAGATGTAATGGCAATTTTAGTACAGGTTTTATAATTCATAAAATTTTAACGGGTTAATATATTTTGTCCTCTTTTTTGTGCTCTCGTCCTGGCTTTTCACAGTAATTTTCATTTGAATATTTATTTTCTACCAGATGTCTCTTATCGCCTCGAAATTGCTGGCGCAGCTGATGATACTTGGCATCGTCGCTCTACAAACACGGCCAGCCGCGTCTGCGGTTTTCTTACCGTTTCAAGGTTTCCCGTTTTTTGGACCATTTGGGAACAACTTTGCTCAGCTCATCTCGCAACTCTTTTCTCCTGCAACCAACGCAGGGCAACTTTTTGGTGGACAGACGCAGGGAAACGCTCTGCAACAGCTTGCCTCGCTCTTCCAACCAACCTCAGGTGGACAGCAGGGAACGCAGGGAAACGCTCTGCAACAGCTGGCTTTGCTCTTCCAACCAACCTCAGGTGGACAGCAGGGAACACAGGCAAACGCTCTGCAACAGCTTATTGCTTCGCTCTTCCAGGGAGCCGCAGGTGGACAGCAGGGAACGCAGGGAAACGCTCTGCAACAGCTGGCCTCGCTCTTCCAACCAACCTCAGGTGGACAACAGGGAACGCAGGGAAACGTTCTGCAACAGCTGGCCTCGCTCTTCCAACCAACCTCAGGTGGACAACTGGGAACGGCCACCAACAGCATTCAATCCTTTTTCCTCACCTTGATCCGGCTAGCCGGCCAGTTCTGCCCGCAAAACCGTACATTGCCAATTTGCGTACTGTTGTGTCAAAACTTCCCGTTCTTGACTTTCTGTACATGAGGGCGGTGACATTTTTTATACCCTCTACCAGGGCCGCAGAGATGATCTGATCGCTATATATTCACAGAGAATGCTAAGGTTTTTCCTCTGCAAATTTCTGTACTGTCCATTTTGAAAAAAAAAAAAAAAGTAATAAGTGACGTCATCACCCAGCTGGGTTTGTAGAAAAAAGACAAACTGTTAGAATCCTGTTATAGGCCTGATGTTAAATAGAACTTAATCTCATTAATAACAGATTAACTTTTGAAAATGTTGAGGGTTAAAAATTGAAAATAAATTTTCGTCGCACAAATTGAAATTATGATGTTGAATTAAATTTTTGTCACTCGTTTGAAAAAATTAAAATTTCGAGATTTTTTTTATGATAAAGTCAATTAACATAAATACGACTTTGGTTTGAAGCTGACGAATTGATTTTATTTTGGTGATTGTGACCTGGGCGGCTAACTAGCTAGGCCTAAGCTAGAAGCCCAACCGTGTCGGTTGATAGGCCTACCAAAAAAGCTTAAATCGGAAGGGACGTAGCTCGCACTCGGCTTGGTCGGCTCGACATTTATCCATTGCTATATATTTACCTGACGGGGGCGTCTCGATAGTCCGAAGGTTCATTGGTCCGAAAAGTGGTAACGAACCCGCCAATGGGGGTCAGGTCAGCTTTGTATTTGAGGCCTGTCATTCCTAAATAATCCTGGATCCTGGATGCTTGAACAGTATGTCCCCATTGTCCGACAAGATCCCGTGTGACGTGATGGAGAGCTGGACCAGTCCCCATTAATTTGCACAGGTGAGCCTCGTCATATATTTTGGTCACTTACAGGCTAACCCTAACCTGTATAATTAAATATGGAAGGTTGAATCTTTATTATGCGAACCCTCAGTTTCGTCACACCGACCCTATCTGGATCTTGTGTTTTTCGTAAAGAAGCTCCAAGCCCTGATGTGACCACTACCTGGTACGGAGATAGACATATCTCAGGGCAAATGGCGGAAGTTACGAAGCGCAAGAAACTTAGCTTGAAACAGGCAAAAGTAAAGAAGAATTTTTCAGCAGTTTTAACTACAGGCTCCGATGATCAACAAGAGATCAAAAGGCAGAAGTTGAACACAGTTGTAAAAACTGTTCCAAGGTACGCCTCGCTGAACTTAATTGGAGACTGTTAGTGTACATCCCACCTCGATCTCCAGGGTCTTGAACTACCCAGATAACATGCCACTCACTTCTTTAATTTAATTTTAGAGCTTTCATTCCCTCAGCATTCAGCGTTAATTCATTCTTTAGTTTTAGACGGATTTGGTCGAAAACAGGCAGTCAGAAGCGGGCGGCCAAACACCGTTCCCTATGATTTAACCTTCTGAGGCGCAATTAGGATTTATTTGAACAGCCTCAATTTTCTGCCTTAGATATCGACTTTTCATGTCCGAAATCTGAAACAAATAATACATCAGACCGCCCGCTACACTCTAGTGAAGGTGACTTAACATAATCATCCTCTGACAAATCTTGTTTCATTGATAGCAGTGCACTAGGAAATCCCATATTTGCATTAATTCCTCCTTAATAATTGTTTATATTAATCTTAAACATAATTTAAAAAATAAACGAAATATAGATCTATGTTTCAACATTTTTGTACAAACATTTTTTAACATGTGAATAAGTTCAATCATAATTTTCCCCAATCCAGCGACAGTGATTCAGTCTCAGAAGAGGTCAGTCTCTGTCCAGACTTGGTCAGTGTCCGAAATTTCCTGAGGACCCACAGATGGCCACAGTCCAGTCCTGGTCAACAGGCCTTACCAGCATGGGTAGGTCTTGGCTGCTATACATTAAATATATATATATACCCTCCACTTTCACAGGTGTTGAGTTTTATATAAATTGTCAAAATTTCAATTTCATTTACTTATTGATTGATTTATCTATGTACTATTGACCATTTTATATATTTTCTGCTTGCAGGCACAGGTCCAAAATGAAGAGGACAAATCACTGAATGAAAGTCAAATAAAGAAAGACACATTTTCACATAAAGTAAGAAAAGAAGATATTTTGAATAATTGGAAGCCTTTGCCAAAGGCTTGCATGTCATGTCTTTCCAGACAGAAATTTTCTCGCTCAGAATTTACTGCAGCTCACTCAGGGCCTGGTGAAACTTGTCTGCAATTAGGGGGTAAAAACTTAAGATTAGAACAAAAGGAGACTTTAAAGAAAAAAGAGAGAGACAATGGACATAAATTGCAATACCCTAATGTTAGGGGAACAATCCTTCTGCATCCAATAGCAGAAAAGATTGAACGGAAAGAGACAACCTCTCAAGTTGTAGATGCAGTTTCTGGACTCAAGGAGACAAACTCTGAACCTTCAAAATTTACCTCTAGTTTAAGGAAATCAAGCTCTTCTCTGAGTGGAGCAAACTGTGCACTCGTGGCTACAATCTCCCCACCGAGGGGTACAAGTTCTTCACAAAAACTGAAGTCTTCAGGAAGAGAAAACCAGTCATATGACCAAAACGAGGAGGGGCAGGATACAAAGAAAGTGAGGCCATTGGATGCTTGTCCTCTTTGCCAGATGAAGTTTGAAACCAGGTGAAGCATCGCTTTAAAATTCTTATTGAGGCTTTAAATCTGAAACAGGTAAATTAAGGTGATGTAAGTTTAGGCATGTTTATATTTACACTACAGAGGGGTAGACATACCTTTTATCTTTTTATGAAAAAGCATAAACTGAGAACTTTTCCTAGATGCCCCTAAATTCCAATTATATTTGTTGGTTGCAGGAAGACAGAAGGACGTCTCTAAATATCAATTTTATTTTAGTTGGTCGCAGATGGACATAGATGGACACATAGCAGCCTGCCTGGCCTCCTCAGAAGATGATGTCCAGTGGTGACCGATGCCCAGTGGTGACCAATGCCCAGTTCTTGCCCAGTGGTCTGTCATATCTGGATGTCCAGTGGTGTGGTGTGTCAAGTGGTGACCAATGCCCAATGGTCAGATATATCTGGATATCTAATGGTGACCGGTGTCAAGTGGTGACATGTGACCAGATCTTGCCCAGTGGTCAGTCATATCTGGATGTTAAGTGGTGACCTGTGTCAAGATGGTGTCCAATGCCCAGTGGTCAGTCATATCTGGATGTCTAGTGGTGACTGGTGTCAAGTGGTGACCAATGCCCAGTTCTTGTCCAGTGGTTAGTCATACCTGGATGTCAGGTGGTGATGAATGACCAGTGTTGACCAGGTGTCTTTTGCATGTGAATTCAAGACAGCCATCATTCTTTATTATTTTTGTTTTGAAGAAACATATGAAAATTAAAGCCCCCTTCCTTATTTGCATTTTTTCTTTATGAATTTGGTAGTCATCTTCATAGCTTGCAGAGAAACCGCAGTAGAAAATCTGCCCCAGAATTTTTCTGCTGAAAAACTCGTGTGCATTTTGAACTTGATTAAAGTCATTTTCTTTTATGATCGACAACCAAAAAGCAGAAGTAGTATTGCTTCAGGCACGTAGGACTGTAGGGCATGCACTATGTGAAATTGTATTACACCTTTAAAACAAAGGGCATCAAATATTGTGATGATCTTTAGAAGGTAAAACGCTTTTGGTGTATTTAAAGTGCAACTTTTAATCATATTTGTGACTGCCAAGCAAGTTATTAAAATGGCTCAAGTGACAGCTGTTTGTGTTTGATTTAATTGTTATCAGTTTATTTAAGAATTATTCTTTGAAGTGCCTATTGTACTAGAAAGAATTGAAGGGAATAAGACAAGAACAGAGCTCAAGTTCAGTGAAGAAACATGGACTCTCAATTTTATTTACACTCTTACAGAATGTATTTTTCACAATAAAAGAAAACTAAGGGAAATTCTATAACTACTTAACTTGAAGAGTTGAGAGTTAATGAAAAGTTGAACTTTACTCATTATCATGATTAAATGCCTTGTAAAACTATTCTTACTGCAAGTTTCTACCTTTTCTTAACTAAAGCAGAAATTTTAAAACTATAAGCAACAGAACGATAAATATTCCTATTTCCAACAAATAGAAATTTGCAACAGTCTTATAAGCAACATATGCAAAGATCTAGTTTATTTGCTAAATGGCTAAAAAGACATATTGACAATTTTTGCAAAATCATTCAACTAAATAAAAAATGCATGATCCCTGACAGTAACCATATTTTAATGTAACAATATTGATAAAATAATTTTATTGAAGATGTTACGTGACAGAAGTTGGAATGGATTTTATTAGGAAGGCGGTTGGGGATAATACATCCCCTGGTAACCCGTCTGCATCATGTACTGTGATTGTTGGTACTGTTGCTCTGCCGACTGTTGTTGTGGTAACTGTTGTTGTGGCAACTGATAGCCATATTGTTGATGGTAGAAATACTGTTGTTGCTGCTGTTGTTGTTGTAAGTCTAAATACTTCATCTGTGAATCGTAACTCTGTTCACTTTGTTCCGTGTCTGGGGGAGGGGGTGGGGGTGGCTCAGCTTCACTGGAGGGGGGCAAAGGTGGGGGCAGGGGAGGGGAGTCTTGTTCAGGAGGGGGTTGTGGGGCTGTGTTTAACAAGTTTCCAAACGAATAAGCATCAAAGAGGTTTGCAGTGCGACTGTACAACGACGAGACAGACGACGCCATGACGCTGGCAGAACTTTGACTGGACTGTGTTTGCTGTGGCTCCATCTCTCCCTCGTCATCACTGCCACCATAGGCAACAAGAGGGTTTGAAGTTGGCACAAGTTTGGACTGATTCTGGCGGCCGTCTTTCTTCCAGACAACAGGTGCTATCCTGGACTGTGGCTGATGGCCGATGAAGAAGGCCTCGTCCAGTTCCTCTGCTGCAAAAAATGGGACAATATGAACAAAAAAGTAAATTTTTATGATAATATTTTGTTTACAAAGAATCCTCATTAATGACTAAATTCCTTAACTTAAATAGGGCTATGATATCAATTCCTTAATTTTTCTTGCAATTTCTTTCCTAACCATACTCATTCTCAACTTATGCAGTTGAACAGGAGTTAACCTAGAGCTTTAGCAAATAAGTGGAGGCATTTCACACAAACCATAATTTATGTTTGTTTTACTTTTTATCTTTAACCTATATCATTTAGTATATTATTATTTTATTTATTATAAATATTATTTTTACGCCATCACCCAGTCAAGAAGTAATCACAAACCTGTATGTTCTCTTTGTGTTGCTGGTTTACCATACCCCTCAGATGGTCTCTGATCACCAGTCCCTTCACCCTGAAATCAAACAAAAATTGCCTTATACTTAATAATAATAATAATAATAATAATAATAATACCTCTTACTGGCTTTAGTATAAAAAGGATACAATATAATTGGTCAGAGAGATTACATGAATACAGACATACATTTCAGTTCTGTTGAGAGTGTCTTCACAGTGGGATTAGAACGGACAGTAACATTAGCAACAAGCCTTTTGCAGCTAGACGACTAGACCCTAACTTCAGTTTACCGAAGAGCTTGCACCCCAGTAAACAAAAGAATGTTGGAGAGCAAGCTTTTCAATGCACAAAAGAAGCCAACATCTAGCTACAACAGGCCTATTCACTGACTTCTTTCACAATGATCTCTCACACAGTACAATTTATGGATGTTTAACTCACCAGCTTTCCATGTTTAAGTTTGTAGTCTGCAAGAGCCTGTGTCAGAGTGTTGGACACCTGTAGAGCCACTTCAGCCTCATTGTCATTGCTGACCATCACCTGACCCTAGAGGAAAATAACAATTCCAATATTTATTTATTTATCTCTATTCAAATTCACTAGAGAAGACTCAAAATTCCAATCCTGTTCAACATACTTCATTACATGAAGAGATAGACAAGAAGCATTGTCACTATAGTATACCACTTTGTTTTTTTTTGTCACATCACAGACTAGGAAACTTTAGATTGCTTTCTCTCTGTCAGTTAATTTTGTATTCAGTTCTACAGGAAACTTCATTTCAAGTCAAAAACGGTCCACCTCTTGCAAGGTTTTTGCTTATTCGGAAAAACTGTAATGTTCACTCAAAGTAAAGAATTTTCTAAAAAAAAAACTGATAAAAAGAAACTTTTCACCGAAGGGATACTTTGCTGTGCCAGCATGAGCCTATGACAATGTCTTTTCCAATAATGACTGAAGACAGATGACAAATCAAGCCCTTACCAGTGTCTCCAGCAACCTTTTGGTCTCCTCATTCAGAGGAATCCCGCCTGTGTCAACCCCTAGTGCCGCCGCAATGGCTGCTGCATCAGGAACCTTGGATTCTTTGTCCTGTTGTTCATCCAGCTGTCCCCGTTCCTGCAGCTCTCCCATCATTTCTTGAAATTTCCTCTCGTTGGGGTCGTCCTGGTGCCTGGGCGACCTGTCCCCCTCTCTGCTGACCTCTGTGGATGTGGACTGGTGGCTGTAGTCTATCACTTCCATTGGACGGCTCAGTCCTGGCCTTGAAAATGCAAAGATTACAAAACAGGGTCAAGGTCAATGTCATTAAAGGGTCAAGGCAGACAAGATCACGTTAAGTTAATTTTAAAAACGACCAGATGTCCAAACAGTGAGTTATGTGCAATTTACCGATCCACAGATTTAATTTTGAACAGTTAACACAAAAATATTTCTATATGCAAATGCCATATCAAAAATACTTAACCAGCATAAATTCATTCAGTGATACATGAGTTAACTGGGAATAAAAGTCATACTTCAAAATACACATCTACAATGAAACCCCTTTTTCAGCTTTTCTTAATAATTACCATAAACCACCAGCTTGAGCCTAGTTTAACCCTCTTTTCCTCTCTAACTAGTAAGTAGGCACAGGCCAGGGAAGTAATAAAATATCACTCAGAAATATTCTTGAAAAAAATCCAGGGCATACCTGTCATCCTCTCCTGGTAGTAGGCGTGCAGGAGGGTAGTAGCGGTCATAGTCAGCAGGGTATCTTCTGGGATATCTGCAATACAGAAGAAAAATTTGAAAACCACTCAGAGAGTACAGACCTCTGTGATAGCAGCTCTATTTACATATCTTAATGAAATGATTAACTAATGGATGGATCACCACCAAAATATACTTGGTTCTCAGTTGGCCCGTTTCTGATCTAAATAACTTAACTCTATACACTTCAAATGTTGGTATGTATGCCTTTAAATTGCCATATTTATAACATTTTCACCCCATAATGTGTAAACGAAGAACTGAAATATGTAATTCTTCATGTCTGTAGTGGGAATAACACCTGAATTTCTCAATACCTTTTGCATCTTCCACTTAAAAAAAAATGCGCCAAATAAAAAAGGTTCAAAAAATTCTTAATATCCATGAGGGTCTACCACACTTGTTGACCAACTAATCCAGAATTTGTCTGGCTTTAGAATTAAGCGCTATTAATAAAGAGAAGCCAAAAATGTGCTCTGCACACCTGTCATAGTAAGAGTCATCATAGGGGGCACCCCGTGCATCAGGATAGTCTCTGTAACGTCCAGCATAGACTCCTCCGCGCTCGGGGTACCCTGGTCTATCTAGACCTTCATAGTAGTCTCTTCTTCTGTCGTAATAGTCTCTATCTGGATAGCCTCTCTCTCGTTCTGGGCCAAGATAATCGCGCCCTCTATCTCGTGGATCTCTCGGCCCACCCCTGGTGTCTCCCTGTTCTTCCTTGACATTGACGTCTTTTCTTTGAATGTCATCCAAGTCATCGTCCCTCTCGGAGTAAGTGGTGTAGGATTCATACTTCCTGGTCAACCCTGATGCTGTGGAAGAAGGGAAAATGACATCGTCTGTTTTACAATTCATTTAAGTATATTACTGAATTATTAAAAGAACTGATGGATTTTTTCCTTTGAAATTTTGTGATATGTACATTTTAATTGAGTACTGCAATAGTTATGGACATAATGTAATCACTGCTTTTGAGATATATTATTTATATATTATTCATATTATAATGGGCTAAGATCTAGCCTTGCACCAGTGACATTAACACCCAGTTGATAACAACTGCTTCTCTTGCTAAAACCTGAAATAATCAAAGTGTGCTGAAAATGACAGCAAATGACTAGAAATTATCACTTTGTGAATTCATAGGCCCCAGAAAGTACCAGTCAACACCTGCTCAGGAGATGGCTACATGAAGTCAATACCTGGTAATGAAGTTTGAATGCAAAACAGTGTTTTTTTTATAGTTTTAGTCTAGAAATTATTTCAAATTCTTACTAAAAAAAGTAGTATTTTCTTTTAAAACATCTTAAACCATCCACAGCCAGAGCAATAATCAATACAATAAGTGAAAACCCATTAGTTTACCTCTTTCAGAAGAATACTTATCATCTTCCACCCAAGTTGCGTTTGAATCTGAAAATAATAAAGATGACAGTGTTAGTCTCAAAAGTAGAGATGGAACAGTTCACCAGATGTGTTAGATTTTATGATCTCATCACATACAACTGGATTGGCAACCCTAGAGTACTTGATGTAAAAGGTGGTGTGAGCCTAACTGGAGAGCACCCAGGCATCTTTTTGTGCACATCTTTAAACACGTCCAAATGCATGCCATATTCATGGCAACACACAAAACGATTGTATATTTCACTGGGAAAGTTTTTAATAAATTAGTTCTTTATGTGGAAATTTAATACAAAACAGATACAAATTCAAACTGATACTTTGTTAATCAAACTGCATTGCTCTCTTTCTCTCTCTTTGAATGGGGGGGGGGGGGGGGGTAGTTAGGTAAACAACCATGAGCCATGTCTGTAAGGTACGAACCTTTTAATAAAGGCTCCAGCACCAACTTGAGGCGTATAGGTTTCCTGCCTTCCCTTTCCTCTATCCACTTGGCATACTGCAGGGCAAGGTCAGTCCTCACAGATTTCTTCTCACGCCGCTCGCCGAGCTCGTACAGCTTTTCGTGATACAGGGGATAGTTCTCTTTCTAAATTTACAGATTGTAAATTATTATTATTGTTATTATTATTTCCCAACCATGCAATTTCTTGCAGAGGTATTTTAACTGAAGCAGTTATAGATTACTATATCATCATCCTTGTTTGAAAAAATTAAAGCGGCTGAACATTTTTAAGTAAATATATTCCATCCCATAAAAAATGCAGAAATTACATAAAAAGCAGTCATAACTGACCACTGTTTTTTTTGTGTCTCGAGCAAGTAATGATTCCGGCCAACAAAGTTTATTTTATTTCATTTGCTTGCAGGACCTATGTTACTGACAAAGTAAATTCAGCTTAGGCAAAACAGTGGGAAATATTCCAAAGTCAACAAAGAGAGTGTGTTAAGAACAGTGAGCTGTACCGACCATAAACCTGTTTCTGTGTCTCAAGCCGGTGACATGAGCGATGACCTGGCGGGGATCAAACTTCTGTTCGCATAGTTCGCAAACATAACGAGGTTCCTCTGCCGGGTCTTCAGGCTGGAACTCGATCAGGTAGTCAAGACCTGGCGAGACAAAAAACACACTAATCTTCTGCTATTTCTGAATCAAGTCTTCATCTTTCTATTCCTATTTTTCAATTTTTTTTTGTTTAATTTTTTTGTAATAATCTATACCAAAAACTTTCACATTATAAGCCATTACATTTTTTAACAGTAATAAAAGCATAATGTCATATACTTCATAGATTGACAACATTTCAATGATCCAATAATGACGCAAGTCCAAAAATAGATTACAGTTCTTACAAAAAAAAATACATTGACATTTACATCTGTTACAATAACAACCATTATTATTATTATTATTTATTTATTTATCTAATATCTAGTAAATACCAATCAGGGGCTCCCTGCAGTTGTCCATAGCAAGCTGGATCATCAATTCTTTCTTCCTCTTTCCTTTTCCATCTATGAAAAAATTTATATTAGAAATGAAGATTTCATAACACAACTAATATACTAATGATCTAAGAGCAAAGAGAAATTCATGTGATGACACAGGAAATGATCCAAGAAAATTAAAATACATATATTATGATAATCAAGGTATTTGAGAATTTGTTCCAGGACCTGTTCAACATTTAAGTTTTATGCCAGATAATTTCTTTCCTTTTAGCTACAAATGTTAAATTACAATACTATATCATAAACACATTTCAAATACAATTCCGCAGTTTCAATTCGTATGAATGTCCAAAATTAATATTTCGTACAATCTTTGATTAATTATCATTTATATCTAAACACTCTATAACTGGTCTATTTTGAAGATGCTTGCAGCTAGTTATACTGCTTGAGTACTTAAGTTTACATGAATCAAGCTTCACTAAAACCCCCACCCACAAACCCTGAGTAGGTAATCCCTTCCCCTCCCACCCCCCCAAAGAAATGCAAATTTCAGACTCATATAAAAATATCTTTCAAACAATGGACTGCATACTTACCTTGTAAGCAATTACCCCCTCTATTACTTCTTACAAACCATCGTCATGTTTCTATTTAATACTAAAACAGCTTTCTCAGTCTCGTCCCAATTCCCATTTAAAATGACACTCAAATACATAATCATGTTCTCACGGTGTAACGGGAACATTTCATTCCTTTGTGTGACCTTTCCACTTTTTTTCTAAATGGTAACGTTTTTTTTTTTCGCCAATATTCACTCTACACTTTGAACAGCTACTGATACCCCTCACTCACCACCTCCCCCCCCCCCCACCAAACACACACACCTGCAATGATTCTACATATTCAAAAACTTCTACTAACAATCTCCATTTTTCAGTTAAATTAAGTTTACTTTCTCTTTACTTTACCACCCAAGTCTCTCTATATAAAAAAACCAACTTAATTCCTTTCACTTGATAAAATACAATTGTTACAGTAACTTCCTTACTATTCTAAATAAAATATTCCCAGGTCCAAACCATACCCAGTACAGGAAACAGAATCAGTTATTTGATTTTTTGAAAATGGCCAAAATCTAACTATCACCCATTGCAGTTTTATAAAAAATAATATTTAAAAAAATCACAACAGGGTGTTTGAAATAACCCTCTTTTGGTATGGATTTATAAATTGAAAGATGTTCTTTGTATAAAAAAAATAATCACCTCTTTTTGTTTTAAAACATAATATAAAAACATAATAAAACATTATTTTATTGAATATGTTCTGAATAACTTCTTATAATTCCTATTCAGACTTTGAAATAAATTTGGATTTTTTCACTTGAATAGAGACAAAACAATTATATCTAATGAAATTCCCTTGCTTTATTAGAGAGATTTTTTAGCCAGCCTCTTCCTTAGACTCTCAAAACTAGCAATTTCACATGCATTAAATGCCTACATTTTTACTGTACTCTTAGACCACATTTAGAGTCAAACATCGTACCAGCTTTTTTTAAGACTAGCCTCCCTCCTATCCCCAAACAACAAGACATTTTAATACAAACCAAGGAATCTTTCAATGATAAGTGAAAACAGCACACTAGGGATCAGCAGGGCTTCCTTAGTGTCTGTTTTACCTGTTCTTCTACAGCGGGGCAAGGAACAGTCCAATTGTGTTAGGTGAGACTTGAAACATTCACTGGTCTCAACCAAAGAACCACAGATTATTTCAAAAAAAAAAAGAAAAAAGGAAAATCATTCTGTCCTTTAAGAGGAGTGGAACTGAATAAGAGACAAGCCCACGTGGATATTTTTTCAACCAATATACTCTTAAAGCTCAATTTTATTGCTCAACACAGAACCTAAATAAGTAACACTCCTGTAATACTTTCTCTTAATCCCTCCATATATATTTGTAGCCCTGGCTCTTCTTCAGAAACAGGTCTCTTAAACCAATTAGTGTCTTATCTTCGACTATTGTCCATTCTTCAACAATGGTCCACTTCTGTGGCCAATGTCCAAGTTGCCGCCAATGTCCACACAAGTGCACAGACCATCCCTTGACCACCACCACTGAGATTTGACCACCACGATAACTTCACCGGTGACCAGGACAAGCAGTGATGACCAAGGGAGGTTTTATTAAGGGAAGAGGGAGGCAACCTCAATGTTTCCAGAGATATATTGTGCACCTGGCTAAATATCCTTAAATGTTGTCAAATTGACTGGGGAGATTGCACAAAGTTTATTTCAGTGCATTTCCCAATCAAACATGCCTGTATTCACTACACAGACTTGTTATCAAGGGTACAGGCAATTCCAGGGATGCACAGCTTTTTTTTTTTTTCTTCTTCTTCCAGTGTTCTTCATTTACCAAGAGTAAGAGTATACGCAATTTCAGTTTTCATGATTCCTTCGCTTCTCCATTTTCTTCACAAAGCAGGTAGTACTTATTGTTCACGTTTCATTTGGAAATCAATAAACTTAAGTAACAAACTTTTTATTACCCCTGCAGAATGTGCTTGCATTAGTTTAAAGATAAATAGTTAATTGTATTTTGTACTTACCTACTGCTGAACCACCAGCTCGCACTTTCTGAAAATCAAATGGCATTTCTTATATTTCTTATTAATATTTCAAAATAGAAATGAACAAATATATGAAAAAGATAAACATAGATAGACAGACAATCTGATAAGGCCTTTTTCAACTTTATCCTGTTATTTGCTTTATTTCTTCTTTAGTTGTAAAATTAACAAGCAAAAGGCTAAACATTTTTTCAATATTTTTTCTTGATATATTTCTGAATCATTGGTGTAGTAAATCATGTTATTATTTTGAGAGACTAAGTCAAAACTTGCATTGGTTCTTGGTCTTAATTATGCCACCACAGCAACTGATTAATGTAAATCACTCAAAGTCATAATCAATACTACATATTCATTCTACAAAAAATCATCTCATCTAGCTCGATTTATTCACTTACTTCTTTCTTTATTCATTCATTTATTTATATATATTTTTTATTTGTTTGTCTCATGGCTTTACGTACCTTTAAATGTTTGATTCCATCCATGTGAGCTTGTAAGGAGATCTCAGAAGTGCACGTCACATCACAGGCCTACAATGTCCCAAATACAAACAAAAAGAAAATCCATTAACAAAATTTCACTTATCACGGAATTATAGATACTTTGAATGGAACTTATTCCCAACTCACAATATTTTTCAGTGCTTTGTGAAAACAAGCAGCAAAGCTGTAAAATGTACAGGTATAAAAACAAATAATGTTGTACAAAATAGATTCTGTCAATTTTGATGAGGGCTTTTGACTTATCATGTCATCTCTGAAAGTGCAGGGCAATGACGCTACAACAACAGATACAGGCAATAGCTATATGTACAGGCCATGTATGTCTGTACATAAATAAAGGAATTAATCTGCTATGTTAATTTCATTTCTCCTCCGAGAACTCTTGGATTTCATTTGTCACTCTTCTATTGTGCTGTCATCTGTCAGTCATAAAGAGATCTTGCTATCGTGCTGCCATCTATCAGTTGAACACACAACTTTTTTTTTCACCTGAAATCTGGGAACACTTACATATGCTCTATGTTAGTAAGCAAATAATCCCTCTATCATGTTCAAATATCTCATAACATAAGCTTTTATTTACTTCTTTTTTTTTTTCAATGAAAAGACACTCACCTCGTAAAACCCTTAAAGTTTAAAATCCGGATTTCAGCCCCTTGCGTTAATTTGGGAAATATCAAACAACTATTAGCTACTGTACTTAATATATCCCACATGACTTCCTTAACTTAATGGGGATGAAATGAATTTCAGAACAAAAACACTATTCTTTTTTTCATTGTCAAACACGGCAAAAATTGAAGAATTTCCATATAAAAAGCTGTATTCATTATCAAATGATTGTGTGATACTTTCTCTTTCTATACCCTTACAAAGGTTTAAGTTGTAAAAACTGTTAACCCTGAAAATGTTGCTGGGGGAAGGAAGGCCATCAAAATGAAGACTGAAAATCTGGAAATCAGGCATAATCAGGAAAACTTTCTCTCATGAACAATAAAATAATTCAAAAAGAATTCTTTTGATCAGGTAAAAACATTCTTCTTCTCAAATGAAGCCTTATTCAGTTCCATCAAAACTTGTGGCTTGTCATTTTTTGATTCCATATTCTCCACATAAAAAAAATGTAACTAGAGGATCAGAGAGGCGATACCGCCTCCGAATATTGTACCACCAGCTGGAGCAGGGGCATTCGTATAGACCACCACATACACAAAAGAAGGGACACAGCCACCAGTCTTATGCTTGACAAGCTGTAAAAATGCAATCAACAAGAATTTTCAAAATATGCAAAAATATATATAACTTAAAATGGTACAATCAAAGTTAAGTTCATCATAAGGTAGGTCAAAGGTCAATTTCAAGGTCACAGTAAATTGCCAGTATATGACTTCCTATTCAACTTTAATGGTAACTGTGGACCTATCTCTGCCAGGTTTGGAGTTAAAAGAGAAAGAAATTTGCAAAGTTCAGTTCATAGTGAAAAGTAGGTCAAAGGTCAATTTCAAGGTCACATTTAGATTGCCAGTATATGACTTTCCAAGCAAGTTCAATAGAAACTATGGACCTATCTCTGCCAGTTTTGGAGATAAAAGGGAACCAAAATTTGCAAAGTTCAATTCATGATAAAAAGTAGGTCAAAGGTAAATTTCAAGGTCACACTTAGATTGCCTGTATATGACTTTCCATGCAAGTTCAATAGAAACTATGGACCTATCTCTGACATCCTATTCAAGTTCAATAGTAACTATGGACCTATCTCTGCCAGTTTTGTAGATAAAAGGGAAGAAAAATATGCAAAGTTCAGTTCATGGTGAAAAGTAGGTCAAAGGTCAATTTCAAGGTCACAGTAAAATTGCCAGTATATGACTTCCTATTCAAGTTCAATAGTAACTATGGACCTATCTCTGCCAGTTTTGGAGATATAAGGGAAGAAATGTTATAATTTTGGAGTTCCCATAATGTGCCATAAATTTCCTACAGAAAAAATTAATTAAAATAAAGAAAAGGTCATTTTGGTCAAAATTCTTGAAATGGGAGGTACTCTGAAGTTCCAAAAGTTCAAATTTGATGAAATAATGTCAATTATGACCATAAGTTGTCTGCTTTGCCAAGCCTTATGTTTTATTTTTCCAGAGTTCAAAATTTATTATCCATTACTAGTCAGGCGGTTAAGTCCAAATTATATCCAGAATTGTGCAAAAGATGATAAAAGCATGAAACTTTCCACGATGAATATTTAAGAAAGCCGCTCATCCCAGTACTAATGAATTTTGGAGTTGCCCCCCGATCCAAAATAGACAAACACCCAATGGTCATTCATCGTGGAAAGTTTCATGCTTTTATCATCTATTGCACAATTTTTTGGCTTAGCCGCCTCACTATACCGTACTGCACATTTTGCTTTCACCACCAATATGTACTTTTTGATACAAAAAAATGGAGACCACCTCCAGTGTTGGGCTTTACATGCTCTACAAAATGCAAAAAAGAATGGGTCTCTAGCATTAACGGTCCCTGAATTAGAGACAGTTTTCAGTTTCGGCATCTTAGGGCCGCTACTCCCGTGAAAATGCACCGATTGACCCCAAATTCACGGAGATGAAAGATGACCTGAAGGGTAACACTTTCCAATAATATTATTGGTAAGTCTGTGAGGTGTCTGAATAACAGGGCAAAAAATTTTTTTTTGTAAAAAAATTTATTTTTTAGAAAATTTTGGCCCGTTTGACCTTGAAATAAAGGTCAAAGGTCAAATCCAAGGGCATATTTGAAATCTACACATATGACTTTTGGAAAGCCGTCTGTAGAAATTTTTCCCATAACCCCTTCCGTAGGGTAGATAATTAGCATTTAATTTTGCCATTTTTGGACAAGGGTGCATTGCAATGAGTGCCACACCCAGACCCCAATACCGACAAAGCCCAAATTTTACGTGGAATGAGTTGAGATTATAGGTGACCTAAATCCAAGAGATGGGTACGGGGGCCCTTACCGTCTAGGAGGAGAAGCGGTAACGGTAGCCGTCTGGCGGAGCCGGCAGAACGATCCGGACGGGACCGAAACCATGTGTACCGCCAGCGCTTACGCTGGTGGTACAAATTATACAACTTTAAAGTACAGTGAGTGAGTCATGCATTTATTATATACCTTATCAAGCATATATACGGAATCAAACATGGTTTGCCTTAATATTATCTACTGCTTTGAAAAACAGTACAAATATGTCCAATTACGTTTAAATCACATGCCACTATCATGTACCCCAGACACAGCCAAAATGACAGTCCTTCAGGCACAGACAAAAGAAAGCCTTCAGGGCCAGGATTTATTAGAATCAACTAGATTTTTTTGAAAGGCAGTGCATCAGTTGTTTTGCACAAAAAAAAATTGTAATTAAAAAATCAAATACTGGCAGATGATCACCTGAAATGACATAATTGTTTGAGGTTTGTCACTCGAAATGTCTAGCAACTGCATCAAATATTTTGCCATTTTTATGCTATAACAAAACCACACATCTGTTATCACTATGACATCATAATAATTTGTCACTTACCACATCAAGATTCTTTCTGAGAGACACAACGTCTTTGTCATCTTTGAAACTTCCTGGGAATAATGTCCTCAGTATCCCTTTAAAAGACAGGGCCAGCATGTGCTGTGTGAGTGGAATGTGCTGGTCATCTACCATTGTGCCCCATTTGGCAGCTAATTCTTCAGCAAGCTGGAATTGCATGTACATGAAATAATTAGGTCAGTGAATCTAAAGCCAGATGACCTCCTGGTCAGAACGTCCGCCTCTACCTCATTTCATGTGCAAGATGGAACTGAATACACAAGGTGACTCTTTTGCTGCTCAATATTATTATTCATGATCAATCACCACCAACAGTACCATGACAATATATACAACTGACCTTTGAAAATATAGGACTCATCTTCAGGAGCTGCTCGTTCCTCATGCTGCCATCGTACATCTCTCGCCTTTTCCTCCCTGCTCCACCATTGGTAAAAAGAATGCTGGGAGCACCAAACAAAGGTTTATAAACTTCATATAATTCAGCTGAAATGAGATAGGTTACATTAAATCTTTAATAATTGTATTACTTGGCTTTTAAATTGTAAGTAGTATTGACATTTCAAATGGAATGCACCATACAAAAATAAATTATTATTACTATTATATCAACAGTAGTCAAAAATGCATTTCGAGCCCATTCAGAATAGAAAATCCACAGATCAATTATGTGACACTACATGTACACCACAAATGGTTTTCCCATCTCCACACATGCTGTCCTTGCAGGGTCTAGCAATTAAACCTCGGAGCCGTGATTTAATCCATTTAATGGCGCATATGGAGGAAGGGAGACCATCAGCTGATTAGAAAGCTCTTCTTTCATGTAGGGTCTGCCATATTTGTTCCATATATCAGGGGATCCTCAAATCTTCTATTCCGAAGGGACTCTCAGGGTGACATACTGGTCAAGTCAACATGAAGAGTGACATACCTGGTCTATCAAAAACATTGGACTGTTGACTAAACAACCCTGGCGATGCAGTGCTGACCACCATTTTCTGACCCATCCAGAATGAGGCTATAGGTCCGTGTGTCTCATGGAGTTCAACCAGAAACTCATGGAGACTTCCAGCCTTGGCAATGTCAGCTAGGTTCCCATCGCTGCAAGTAGAGAAGAAATCAGTGAAAGATACAAAGAAGAATGACCATCTACCAGTATGTAACTTTGAAAGTATAAGTGACATCAGCAGTACATAGACTATTTTGAAAAAAAAATTAGTGCTTCATTTAAACAATGCCTATAATCACTGTCAAACTGATCCTAATAAATACTAGTAATATAATATAGACTTAACAATTTAGTCACATTACCTTGCAATGACCATATCTATCAACCATTTTCAGTGATATTATTTTACCACTTCAAGCTACTTGACAATGACATGATTCATCAACTGAAATATCACAATATATCACCATAAACGAACCAGACAAGACAAATATGTCTGTTGTCCATTACCATCATAATTATTACCACTCACACAATTGTGATAAGTAAAAAGTATGTTAAGTTGCATCAATTAACCTACTTTGGATCAGAAGGGTCTAATCCAGGAATACTGGTCACTTTTCTTGATCCCTAAAAGTAAGCAAAATATAAAATCTATCCGTTTTTCATGCAATCACATAAGCATGCAATATATATATATATATATATATATATATATATATATATATATATATATATATATATATATATTATTTTTTTTTTCTAAAAACATGTTCTATTTCTGTGTGGACAAATTGTATGCACGGTTGCAATATGAACATTTTCCTGTTTGCTCCTGTTTGCAGAAAATGCACTTAATAAATGAAATCGATCAGCAGAAAAAAAAAGTACTTGTACGTGTACTTATACCACTACAAGTACTGTAGTACAACCAGTAGTACATGCACGGCACAGTACATGTATGAGTCACAGATGGTGCTTTAACATGATGTTGCATTTCAAACAAAATCAAAAGCAGACATTTTCATAAACCAGTGCAATACTTACAGGATATAAGTAAATAACTGCTCCCAGCAGAGCAAGGAAAAAGGTGATTGCAAAAATGACAAAATCCAACATTTTCACGATCCCTAGATACTTCAACGTGGAACCACCAGAGCCCTGCAACACTTCCGGATTGAGTATTTCTATCCGCCAAGGTTATCCCAAGGTCAACAAAATAGTCCCCAAAACCATTGTGACGGGTAATTATTTCATTCCCATATTCAAAGATACAAATATAATTAAATAAGCAACCATGCGTTTTAATTTATCCACGAAAGGAATAAATAATAGGAATGACAAAGATTCAAGTAAGAGAAAACAAATTTAATGCGTATGGATATGTATCCATCACTTCCGTAAACATTACCCCGCCATGTGTAAAACTGAAAGTTCGTGGAAGACGTAAGGATTCATTGTTCTTCTTTTATCTGGAGACGCCGTTTCTCTGTAGGTTGAGTGCCTTTATATGGTTTTTGGAATAAAATATTTGATTAGAATCTGTGGTATTAACAGAGAAAAATAGAAATAATTAATATTAGTGGG